AGAACTCGAGAGTTTTTTTTATTATTTGTGCCTCACCTTGGGTCCATTTGTTAACCTCATTTTTGGATGAGGTCTTCACCTCTCTCCTTAGAGCATAGGGTCTAGCCTTAGGCTTCCCCTGTTTGACCCTCCTAGAGGACTAGTATGGAACTCACACCTTTTAGAAAATTCAAGCCACCTCGTCACTTCTTCGAGTCTCATATGGGCGATCCCGAATCTTCGGCATTTCGTTGAGTTGATGAGAACCAACACATGAGACTTGAGTCGAGTTGCTACATTCATAGAAGCAGCCCCTAGGGAACCCCTTTGCGACCCGAATGCTCGATAACGCCGTATTTTGCGCACACATCGCACCCCGTATGATTTTGGCTTAAATTGACTCGCCCCTTCGCGAACTCGTCCGGACGACCCCGGATGACGAAACATATCATTATGGTTTCGCGCACGATCGATTAACACAAATTTCGATGGACATTTTTTTTATTTAGTGGTGTGTGGGCCTGGGCTCAACCCAGGTTTGACTCGGGTTTGATTCAGACTGGACTCGGGCTAAACACGGGCTAGTCACCAACTCACCTGAATTTGAAATTCAAATTTCAAAATTCAAACAAATTATTTGAATTTGTCTTAATTAAAAATATTCAAGTGTTAATGCTTTCCAATTGAACCTCCCCTGCGTATGGAAACCATTTATTTCCCCGCCATTTGCTTCGAGTGACGACTCTTCTCCCGCTAGGCTTATTTCTTTCTTGCGCACGAGAGCCTCGGCTGGCCTGCTCTCATTCGACCGATGACCCCCCCCCGCTCGTCATCCTCCTCTGCCTCTCCCGAGCTCCTCTCTCCCGCTCGCTTCTGCTCAGTTCTCCCGCTCTTGTTATGCCTCACCCGCGCCTCCTCTGCGAACAGAAACCCTCGCTTGCCTCATCTCACTCGACCGAAGACCGAACCCCATCTGCTCGCCTTCTTCTCACACTCGTCTCTCCTTCCTCTGCATCGAACAAAGTTGCCCGCTCGACTCCCGCTCGACAGGTCGAGGCGAAGCACTCGACCCCTTGCTGCACTGAAGACTCTCGCCTCATCCGCTCCTCTCACTCGACCAAAGACCCCCACTCGTCTGCTCCTCACTCTCGCTCACCCTCTTCGGCTTTCTGCTTGCGTGCGACGGAATCTTCCCTACTCTCGACAAATTCTGCTCGCACAGAAAACCCCTCGCCTCTTCCTCCATAGCTCGTTTCTGCACCAATTCTCCCCCGATCGAGACTCTCCTTCTCACACAGCTACAGCTCCTTTCCCTAAGGTGAAGGATTTTCTGTCTGGTATGCGAAATCTATCTGCCATTTTTTTTCTGTTCTTTCGTAAGAGTTTCTTAATCTGATTAAAATTTGGTAGTGTGTTTATGTGATGGAATTGTGAGTTCTTCCTGTGGGATGCTTTTCTTGTCATTGGTGGGATTCAGATTCCTTCAGATGGATGGGATTAAGGGAAGTCATATGTTTATTTGAGATGTGAATGATGTTTGCTTTCATTTATATTTCTTAATCATGAATGTTCTTTATCTTCAAAATTGAATTCCATGCGAAACCCAGATTACTTTCTCCATTTCTTTTGACAAAACTTCTTGATTAAAAAAAAAAGTCTTGGACCTTCTTTATCTCATTATTCCATTCACAGAAATCAAGATTG